GGACTGTGTGGTGACTTTGTGATCCACCCTGAGCTTGCTTTGCTTTGCTTTGGTTGAGTGGTCTTGTGACCCCTTGTTCTCCCCCACTTTGCCTATGGGGGTGTGTCAGAGTATTATTGCTGATGCATGTTTGTAGGCTATAGTGGGGTAGCACATATGGGGTACAGCTTTCTAGGGTTGTATTTGTACCCAACTCTGACTTAGTCATTTCATTCCTGGTCATTTATTTCACATAGTACCCGGAATCTAGTGGTCTCACTCAAATAGAAGGTAGGAAATAAATTCATCTAGTGAACGTAAGGGTTTGAAAGGTAACTAACGCACATGTGTAGAGAAAATGGTGCATCGGCCAGTCTGGCCGGCATTTCGCACTTTTAGTGCAAGTAGGGCCAAGGAGAACGGAAACACTCATTTCTCAAAAAGTAAAGGGAATCTAGCGGTCTCACTCGATCATAAGGTGGGAAATATATAAAGCTAGTGAGCTAATAAGGTTCGAAAGGAATCTAATGCATATGTATATGGAAAATGGTGCATTGGCCAGGTCGGTCAGTATGGGAACTTAGAGTGCAAATGCCAGGGAGAACGGAAGCGCTCAGATCTCGCATAGTACACGGAATCTAGTGGTCTCACTCAAATAGAAGGTAGGAAATAAATTCATCTAGTGAACGTAAGGGTTTGAAAGGTAACTAACGCACATGTGTAGAGAAAATGGTGCGTCGGCCAGTCTGGCCGGCATTTCGCACTTATAGTGCAAGTAGGGCCAAGGAGAACGGAAACGCTCATTTCTCAAAAAGTAAAGGGAATCTAGCGGTCTCACTCGATCAGAAGGTGGGAAATATATAAATCTAGTGAGCTAATAAGGTTCGAAAGGAATCTAATGCATATGTATATGGAAAATGGTGCATTGGCCAGGTCGGTCAGTATGGGAACTTAGAGTGCAAATGCCAGGGAGAACGGAAGTGCTCAGATCTCGCATAGTACACGGAATCTAGTGGTCTCACTCAAATAGAAGGTAGGAAATAAATTCATCTAGTGAACGTAAGGGTTTGAAAGGTAACTAACGCACATGTGTAGAGAAAATGGTGCATCGGCCAGTCTGGCCGGCATTTCGCACTTATAGTGCAAGTAGGGCCAAGGAGAACGGAAACACTCATTTCTCAAAAAGTAAAGGGAATCTAGCGGTCTCACTCGATCATAAGGTGGGAAATATATAAATCTAGTGAGCTAATAAGGTTCGAAAGGAATCTAATGCATATGTATATGGAAAATGGTGCATTGGCCAGGTCGGTCAGTATGGGAACTTAGAGTGCAAATGCCAGGGAGAACGGAAGCGCTCAGATCTCGCATAGTACACGGAATCTAGTGGTCTCACTCAAATAGAAGGTAGGAAATAAATTCATCTAGTGAACGTAAGGGTTTGAAAGGTAACTAACGCACATGTGTAGAGAAAATGGTGCGTCGGCCAGTCTGGCCGGCATTTCGCACTTATAGTGCAAGTAGGGCCAAGGAGAACGGAAACGCTCATTTCTCAAAAAGTAAAGGGAATCTAGCGGTCTCACTCGATCAGAAGGTGGGAAATATATAAATCTAGTCAGCTTATAAGGTTCACAAGGAATCTAATGCATATGTATATGGAAACTGGTGCATTGGCCAGGTCGGTCAGTATGGCAACTTAGAGTGCAAATGCCTAGGAGAACGGAACCGCTCAGATCTCGCAGAGTACACGGAATCTAGTTGTCTCACTCAAATAGAAGGTAGGAAATGTATTCATCTAGTGAACGTAAGGGATTGAAAGGTAACTAACGCACATGTGTGGAGAAAATGGTGCATCGGCCAGTCTGGCCGGCATTTCGCACTTATAGTGCAAGTAGGGCCAAGGAGAACGGAAACGCTCATTTCTCAAAAAGTAAAGGGAATCTAGCGGTCTCACTCGATCAGAAGGTGGGAAATATATAAATCTAGTGAGCTAATAAGGTTCGAAAGGAATCTAATGCATATGTATATGGAAAATGGTGCATTGGCCAGGTCGGTCAGTATGGGAACTTAGAGTGCAAATGCCTGGGAGAACGGAACCGCTCAGATCTCGCATAATACACGGAATCTAGTGGTCTCACTCAAATATAAGGTATGAAATATATTCATCTAGTGAACGTAAGGGTTTGAAAGGTAACTAATGCACATGTGTAGAGAAAATGGTGCATCGGCCAGTCTGGCCGGCATTTCGCACTCATAGTGCAGGTGGGGCCAGGTAAAACGGAAACGCTCGTTTCTCAAAAAGTAGAGGGAATCTAACGGTCTCACTCGATCAGAAGGTGGGAAATATATAAATCTAGTCAGCTAAAAAGGTTTGAAATGTATTCAACGCACATGTATAGAGAAAATGGTGCATTGGCCAGGTCGGTCAGTATCGGAACTTATAATGCAAATGCCAGGGAGAACGGAAGCGCTCAGATCTCGCATAGTACACGGAATCAAGTGGTCTCACTCAAATAGAAAGTAGGAAATATATTCATCTAGTGAACGTAAGGGTTTGAAAGGTAACTAACACACATGTGTAGAGAAAATTGTGCATCGGCCAGTCTGGCCGGCATTTCGCACTTATCGGCACCTAGGGCCAAGGAGAACGAAAACGCTCATTTCTCAAAAAGTAGAGGGAATCTAGTGGTCTCACTCGATCAGAAGGTGGGAAATATATAAATCTAGTGAGCTAATAAGGTTTGAAAGGAATCTAATGCATATGTATATGGAAAATGGTGCATTGGCCAGGTCGGTCAGTATGGGAACTTAGAGTGCAAATGCTAGGGAGAACAGAAGCGCTCAGATCTCGCATAGTACACGGAATCTAGTGGTCTCACTCAAATAGAAGGTAGGGAATAAATTCATCTAGTGAACGTAAGGGTTCGAAAGGTAACTAACGCACATGTGTAGAGAAAATGGTGCATCGGCCAGTCCGGCCGGCATTTCGCACTTATAGTGCAAGTAGGGCCAAGGAGAACGGAAACGCTAATTTCTCTAAAAGTAAAGGGAATCTAGCGGTCTCACTCGATTAGAAGGTGGGAAATATATAAATCTAGTGAGTTTATAAGGTTCGAAAGGAATCTAATGCATATGTATATGGAAAATGGTGCATTGGCCAGGTCGGTCAGTATGGGAACTTAGAGTGCAAATGCTTGGGAGAACAGAACCGCTCAGATCTCGCATAATACACGGAATCTAGTGGTCTCACTCAAATATAAGGTAGGAAATATATTCATCTAGTGAACGTAAGGGTTTGAAAGGTAACTAACGCACATGTGTAGAGAAAATTGTGCATCGGCCAGTCTGGCCGGCATTTCGCACTTATAGTGCAAGTAGGGCCAAGGAGAACGGAAACGCTCATTTCTTAGAAAGTAAAGGGAATCTAGCCGGATCACTCGATCAAAAGGTGGGAAATATATAAATCTAGTGAGCTAATAAGGTTCGGAAGGAATCTAATGTATATGTATATGGAAAGTGGTGCATTGGCCAGGTCGGTCAGTATGGGAACTTAGAGTGCAAATGCCAGGGAGAATGGAAGCGCTCAGATCTCGCATAGTACATAGAATCTAGTGGTCTCACTCAAATAGAAGGTAGGAAATAAATTCATCTAGTGAACGTAAGGGTTTGAAAGGTAACTAACGCACATGTGTAGAGAAAATGGTGCATCGGCCAGTCTGGCCAGCATTTCGCACTTATAGTGCAAGTAGGGCCAAGGAGAACGGAAACGCTCATTTCTCAAAAAGTAAAGGGAATCTAGCGGTCTCACTCGATCAAAAGGTGGGAAATATATAAATCTAGTGAGCAAATAAGGTTTGAAAGGAATCTAATGCATATGTATATGGAAAGTGGTGCATTGGCCAGGTCGGTCAGTATGGGAACTTCAGTGCAAATGCCTGGGAGAACAGAACCGCTCAGATCTCGCATAATACACGGAATCTAGTGGTCTCACTCAAATATAAGGTAGAAAATATATTCATCTAGTGAACGTAAGGGTTTGAAAGGTAACTAACGCACATGTGTAGAGAAAATTATGCATCGGCCAGTCTGGCCGGCATTTCGCACTCAGAGTGCAAGTAGGGCCAAGGAGAACGGAAACGCTCATTTCTCAGAAAGTAAAGGGAATCTAGCGGGATCACTCGATCAAAAGGTGGGAAATATATAAATCTAGTGAGCTAATAAGGTTCAGAAGGAATCTAATGCATATGTATATGGAAAGTGGTGCATTGGCTTGGTCCGTCAGTATGGGAACTTAGAGTGCAAATGCCTGGGAGAACGGTACCGCTCAGATCTCGCATAATACACGGAATCTAGTGGTCTCACTCAAATATAAGGTAGGAAATATATTCATCTAGTGAACGTAAGGGTTGAAAGGTAACTAATGCACATGTGTAGAGAAAATGGTGCATCGGCCAGTCTGGCCGGCATTTCGCACTCATAGTGCAGGTGGGGACAGGGAGAACAGAAACGCTCGTTTCTCAAAAAGTAGAGGGAATCTAACCGTCTCACTCAATCAGAAGGTGGAAAATATATAAATCTAGTCAGCTAAAAAGGTTTGAAATGTATTCAACGCACATGTATAGAGAAAATGGTGCATTGGCCAGGTCGGTCAGTATCGGAACTTAAAATGCAAATGCCAGGGAGAACGGAAGAGCTCAGATCTCGCATAGTACACGGAATCAAGTGGTCTCACCCAAATAGAAAGTAGGAAATATATTCATCTAGTGAACATAAGGGTTTGAAATGTAACTATCTCACATGTGTAGAGAAAATTGTGCGTCGGCCAATCTGGCCGGCATTTCGCACTGATAGTGCAACTAGGGCCAAGGAGAACGGAAATGCTTATTTCTCAAAAAGTAGAGGGAATCTAGCGGTCTCACTCGATCAGAAGGTGGGAAATATATAAATCTAGTGAGCTAAAAAGGTTTGAAAGGAATCTAATGCATATGTATATGGAAAATGGTGCATTGGCCAGGTCGGTCAGTATGGGAACTTCGAGTGCAAATGACATGGACGTGGTCGTGGACGTGGACGTGGACGTGGACATGGACATGGACATGGACGTGGACATGGACGTGGACGTGGACATGGACATGGACGTGGACGTGGACGTGGACGTGGACGTGGACGTGGACGTGGTCGTGGACATGGTCGTGGACGTGGTCGTGGACATGGACGTGGACGTGGACGTGGACGTGGACGTGGACGTGGACATGGACGTGGACATGGACGTGGACGTGGACGTGGACGTGGACATGGACGTGGACGTAGACGTAGACGTGGACGTGGACGTGGACATGGACATGGACGTGGACGTGGACGTGGACGTGGAGGACGTAGACGTGGACGTGGACGTGGACGTGGACGTGGACGTGGACGTGGAGAACTTGGACGTGGACATGGACGTGAACGTGGACGTGGACGTGGACGTGGAGGACTTGGACGTGGACATGGACGTGGACGTGGAGTGGACGTGGACGTGGACGTGGACGTTGACGTGGACGTGGACGTGACGTGGACGTGGACGTGGACGTGACGTGGACGTGGACGTGGACGTGGACATGGACGTGGACGTGGACGTGGACGTGGACGTGGACATGGACGTGGACGTGGACGTGGACGTGGACATGGAGTGGACGTGGAGTGGACGTGGACGTGGACGTGGACGTGGACGTGGACGTGGACGTGGAGGACGTGGACGTGGACGTGGACGTGGAGAACTTGGACGTGGACATGGACGTGAACGTGGACGTGGACGTGGACGTGGACGTGGACATGGACGTGGACGTGGACGTGGACATGGACGTGGACGTGGACGTGGACGTGGACGTGGACGTGGACATGGACGTGGACGAGGACTTGGACGTGGACATGGACGTGGACGTGGACGTGGACATGGACGTGGACGTGGACGTGGACGTGGACGTGGACGTGGACATGGACGTGGACGTGGACGTGGACGTGGACGTGGACATGGACGTGGACATGGACGTGGACGTGGACGTGGACGTGGACATGGACGTGGACGTGGACATGGTCGTGGACGTGGACATGGACGTGGACGTGGACGTGGACATGGACGTGGACGTGAACAAGACGTGGACGTGAACATGGACGTGGACATGGACGTGGACGTGGACATGGACGTGGACGTGGACGTGGACGTGGACGTGGAGAACTTGGACGTGGACATGGACGTGAACGTGGACCTGGACGTGGACATGGACGTGGACGTGGACGTGGACGTGGACGTGGAGGTGGACGTGGACGTGGAGGTGGACGTGGAGTGGACGTGGACGTGGACGTGGACGTGGACGTGGACGTGGACGTGGACGTGGACATGGACGTGGACATGGACGTGGACATGGACGTGGACGTGGACGTGGACATGGACGTGGACGTAGACGTAGACGTGGACGTGGACGTAGACATGGACGTGGACGTGGACGTGGACGTGGACGTGGAGGACGTGGACGTGGACGTGGACGTGGACGTGGATGTGGACGTGGAGAACTTGGACGTGGACATGGACGTGAACGTGGACGTGGACGTGGAGGACTTGGACGTGGACATGGACGTGGACGTGGAGTGGATGTGGACGTGGACGTGGACGTTGACGTGGACGTGGACGTGGACGTGGACGTGACGTGGACGTGGACGTGGACGTGGACATGGACGTGTACGTGGATGTGGACATGGACGTGGACGTGGACGTGGACGTGGACATGGACGTGGACATGGACGTGGACGTGGACGTGGACATGGACGTGGACATGGACGTGGACGTGGACGTGGACGTGGACGTGGAGTGGACGTGGAGTGGACGTGGACGTGGACATGGACGTGGACGTGGACGTGGACGTGGACGTGGACGTGGACGTGGAGAACTTGGACGTGGACATGGACGTGAACGTGGATGTGGACGTGGACGTGGACGTGGACGTGGACGTGGACGTGGAGAACTTGGACGTGGACATAGACATGGACATGGACGTGGACGAGGACTTGGACGTGGACATGGACGTGGACGTGGACGTGGACATGGACGTGGACGTGGACGTGGACGTGGACATGGACGTGGACGTGGACGTGGACGTGGACATGGACCTGGACGTGGACGTGGACGTGGACGTGGACATGGACGTGGACGTGGACATGGTCGTGGACGTGGACATGGACGTGGACGTGGACGTGGACATGGACGTGGACGTGAACAAGACGTGGACGTGAACATGGACGTGGACATGGACGTGGACGTGGACATGGACGTGGACGTGGACGTGGACGTGGACGTGGACGTGGAGAACTTGGACGTGGACATGGACGTGAACGTGGACCTGGACGTGGACATGGACGTGGACGTGGACGTGGACGTGGACGTGGACGTGGAGGTGGACGTGGACGTGGAGGTGGACGTGGAGTGGACGTGGACGTGGACGTGGACGTGGACGTGGACGTGGAGGTGGACGTGGCAAGGACGTGGACATGGACGTGGACATGGACGTGGACATGGAAGTGGACGTGGACGTGGACGTGGACATGGACGTGGACGTAGACGTAGACGTGGACGTGGACGTGGACATGGACGTGGACGTGGACGTGGACGTGGACGTGGAGGACGTGGACGTGGACGTGGACGTGCACGTGGACGTGGAGAAACGTGGACGTGGACGTGGAGGACTTGGACGTGGACATGGACGTGGACGTGGAGTGGACGTGGACGTGGACGTGGACGTTGACGTGGACGTGGACGTGGACGTGGACGTGACGTGGACGTGGACGTGGACATGGACGTGGACGTGGACGTGGATGTGGACGTGGACATGGACGTGGACGTGGACGTGGACGTGGACATGGACGTGGACGTGGACGTGGACCTGGACGTGGACATGGACGTGGACGTGGACGTGGACGTGGACGTGGACGTGGAGTGGACGTGGAGTGGACGTGGACGTGGACATGGACGTGGACGTGGACGTGGACGTGGACGTGGACGTGGAGAACTTGGACGTGGACATGGACGTGAACGTGGACGTGGACGTGGACGTGGAGGACTTGGACGTGGACATGGACGTGGACGTGGAGTGGACGTGGACGTGGACGTGGACGTTGACGTGGACGTGGACGTGGACATGGACGTGGACGTGGACGTGACGTGGACGTGGACGTGGACGTGGACGTGGACATGGAGGTGGACGTGGACGTGGACGTGGACATGGAGTTGGACGTGGACGTGGACGTGGACATGGACGTTGACATGGACGTGGACGTGGACGTGGACATGGACGTGGACATGGACGTGGACGTGGACGTGGACGTGGACGTGGAATGGACGTGGAGTGGACGTGGACGTGGACGTGGACGTGGACGTGGACGTGGACGTGGACGTGGAGGACGTGGACGTGGACGTGGACGTGGACGTGGAGAACTTGGACGTGGACATGGACGTGAACGTGGACGTGGACGTGGACGTGGAGGACTTGGACGTGGACATGGACGTGGACGTGGACATGGACGTGGACGTGGACGTGGACGTGGACGTGGAGGTGGACGTGGACGTGGACGTGGACGTGGACATGGACCTGGACATGGACGTGGACGTGGACGTGGACGTGGACATGGACGTGGACGTGGACATGGTCGTGGACGTGGACGTGGACGTGGACGTGGACATGGACGTGGACGTGAACAAGACGTGGACGTGAACATGGACGTGGACATGGACGTGGACGTGGACATGGACGTGGACGTGGACGTGGACGTGGACATGGAGAACTTGGACGTGGACATGGACGTGAACGTGGACCTGGACGTGGACATGGACGTGGACGTGGACGTGGACGTGGACGTGGACGTGGACGTGGAGGTGGACGTGGACGTGGAGGTGGACGTGGAGTGGACGTGGACCTGGACGTGGACGTGGACGTGGACATGGACGTGGACGTGGACGTGGACGTGGACGTGGACATGGACGTGGACATGGACGTGGACGTGGACGTGGACATGGACGTGGACGTAGACGTAGACGTGGACGTGGACGTGGACATGGACGTGGACTGGACGTGGACGTGGACGTGGAGGACGTGGACGTGGACGTTGACGTGGACGTGGACGTGGACGTGGACGTGGAGAACTTGGACGTGGACATGGACGTGAACGTGGACGTGGACGTGGACGTGGAGGACTTGGACGTGGACATGGACGTGGACGTGGAGTGGACGTGGACGTGGACGTGGACGTGGACGTTGACGTGGACGTGGACGTGGACATGGACGTGGACGTGGACGTGACGTGGACGTGGACGTGGACGTGGACATGGACGTGGACGTGGACGTGGACGTGGACATGGAGGTGGACGTGGACGTGGACGTGGACATGGACGTGGACATGGACGTGGACGTGGACGTGGACATGGACGTGGACATGGACGTGGACGTGGACGTGGACGTGGACGTGGAGTGGACGTGGAGTGGACGTGGACGTGGACGTGGACGTGGACGTGGACGTGGACGAGGACGTGGACGTGGACGTGGACGTGGACGTGGACGTGGAGGACGTGGACGTGGACGTGGACGTGGACGTGGAGAACTTGGACGTGGACATGGACGTGAACGTGGACGTGGACGTGGACGTGGAGGACTTGGACGTGGACGTGGACGTGGACGTGGACATGGACGTGGACGTGGACGTGGACGTGGACGTGGACATGGACGTGGACGTGGACGTGGACGTGGACGTGGACGTGGACATGGACCTGGACATGGACGTGGACGTGGACGTGGACGTGGACATGGACGTGGACGTGGACATGGTCGTGGACGTGGACGTGGACGTGGACGTGGACATGGACGTGGACGTGAACAAGACGTGGACGTGAACATGGACGTGGACATGGACGTGGACGTGGACATGGACGTAGACGTGGACGTGGACGTGGACATGGAGATGGACGTGGACGTGGACGTGGACATGGACGTGGACATGGACGTGGACGTGGACGTGGACATGGACGTGGACATGGACGTGGACGTGGACGTGGACGTGGACGTGGACGTGGACGTGGAGGTGGACGTGGACGTGGAGGTGGACGTGGAGTGGACGTGGACGTGGACGTGGACGTGGACGTGGACGTGGACGTGGAGGACGTGGACGTGGACGTGGAGGACGTGGAGAACTTGGACGTGGACATGGACGTGAACGTGGACGTGGACGTGGACGTGGAGGACTTGGACGTGGACATGGAAGTGGACGTGGACGTGGACATGGACGTGGACGTGGACGTGGACGTGGACATGGACGTGGACGTGGACGTGGACGTGGACATGGACCTCGACATGGACGTGGACGTGGACGTGGACGTGGACATGGACGTGGACGTGGACGTGGACGTGGACGTGGACGTGGACATGGACGTGGACATGGACGTGGACGTGGACGTGGACATGGACGTGGACGTAGACGTAGACGTGGACGTGGACGTGGACATGGACGTGGACTGGACGTGGACGTGGACGTGGAGGACGTGGACGTGGACGTTGACGTGGACGTGGACGTGGACGTGGAGAACTTGGACGTGGACATGGACGTGAACGTGGACGTGGACGTGGACGTGGAGGACTTGGACGTGGACATGGACGTGGACGTGGAGTGGACGTGGACGTGGACGTGGACGTGGACGTTGACGTGGACGTGGACGTGGACATGGACGTGGACGTGGACGTGACGTGGACGTGGACGTGGACGTGGACGTGGACATGGACGTGGACGTGGACGTGGACGTGGACATGGAGGTGGACGTGGACGTGGACGTGGACATGGACGTGGACATGGACGTGGACGTGGACGTGGACATGGACGTGGACATGGACGTGGACGTGGACGTGGACGTGGACGTGGAGTGGACGTGGAGTGGACGTGGACGTGGACGTGGACGTGGACGTGGACGTGGACGAGGACGTGGACGTGGACGTGGACGTGGACGTGGACGTGGACGTGGAGGACGTGGACGTGGACGTGGACGTGGACGTGGAGAACTTGGACGTGGACATGGACGTGAACGTGGACGTGGACGTGTAGGACTTGGACGTGGACGTGGACGTGGACGTGGACATGGACGTGGACGTGGACGTGGACGTGGACGTGGACATGGACGTGGACGTGGACGTGGACGTGGACGTGGACATGGACCTGGACATGGACGTGGACGTGGACGTGGACGTGGACATGGACGTGGACGTGGACATGGTCGTGGACGTGGACATGGACGTGGACGTGGACATGGACGTGGACGTGAACAAGACGTGGACGTGAACATGGACGTGGACATGGACGTGGACGTGGACATGGACGTAGACGTGGACGTGGACGTGGACATGGAGATGGACGTGGACGTGGACGTGGACATGGACGTGGACATGGACGTGGACGTGGACGTGGACATGGACGTGGACATGGACGTGGACGTGGACGTAGACGTGGACGTGGACGTGGACGTGGAGGTGGACGTGGACGTGGAGGTGGACGTGGAGTGGACGTGGACGTGGACGTGGACGTGGACGTGGACGTGGACGTGGACGTGGAGGACGTGGACGTGGACGTGGAGGACGTGGAGAACTTGGACGTGGACATGGACGTGAACGTGGACGTGGACGTGGACGTGGAGGACTTGGACGTGGACATGGAAGTCGACGTGGACGTGGACATGGACGTGGACGTGGACGTGGACGTGGACGTAGACATGGACGTGGACGTGGACGTGGACGTGGACATGGACCTCGACATGGACGTGGACGTGGACGTGGACGTGGACATGGACGTGGACGTGGACGTGGACGTGGACGTGGACATGGACGTGGACATGGACGTGGACGTGGACGTGGACATGGACGTGGACGTAGACGTAGACGTGGACGTGGACGTGGACATGGACGTGGACTGGACGTGGACGTGGACGTGGAGGACGTCGACGTGGACGTTGACGTGGACGTGGACGTGGACGTGGACGTGGAGAACTTGGACGTGGACATGAACGTGAACGTGGACGTGGACGTGGACGTGGAGGACTTGGACGTCGACATGGACGTGGACGTGGAGTGGACGTGGACGTGGACGTGGACGAGGACGTTGACGTGGACGTGGACGTGGACATGGACGTGGACGTGGACGTGACGTGGACGTGGACGTGGACGTGGACGTGGACATGGACGTGGACGTGGACGTGGACGTGGACATGGAGGTGGACGTGGAGTGGACGTGGAGTGGACGTGGACGTGGACGTGGACGTGGACGTGGACGTGGACGTGGACGTGGAGGACGTGGACGTGGACGTGGACGTGGACGTGGACGTGGACGTGGAGAACTTGGACGTGGACATGGACGTGAACGTGGACGTGGACGTGGACGTGGAGGACTTGGACGTGGACGTGGACGTGGACGTGGACATGGACGTGGACGTGGACGTGGACGTGGACGTGGACATGGACGTGGACGTGGACGTGGACGTGGACATGGACCTGGACATGGACGTGGACGTGGACGTGGACGTGGACATGGACGTGGACGTGGACATGGTCGTGGACGTGGACGTGGACGTGGACGTGGACATGGACGTGGACGTGAACAAGACGTGGACGTGAACATGGACGTGGACATGGACGTGGACGTGGACATGGACGTAGACGTGGACGTGGACGTGGACATGGAGATGGACGTGGACGTGGACGTGGACATGGACGTGGACATGGACGTGGACGTGGACGTGGACATGGACGTGGACATGGACGTGGACGTGGACGTGGACGTGGACGTGGACGTGGAGGTGGACGTGGACGTGGAGGTGGACGTGGAGTGGACGTGGACGTGGACGTGGACGTGGACGTGGACGTGGAGGACGTGGACGTGGACGTGGAGGACGTGGAGAACTTGGACGTGGACATGGACGTGAACGTGGACGTGGACGTGGACGTGGAGGACTTGGACGTGGACATGGAAGTGGACGTGGACGTGGACATGGACGTGGACGTGGACGTGGACGTGGACATGGACGTGGACGTGGACGTGGACGTGGACATGGACCTCGACATGGACGTGGACGTGGACGTGGACGTGGACATGGACGTGGACGTGGACATGGTCGTGGACGTGGACGTGGACGTGGACGTGGACATGGACGTGGACGTGAACAAGACGTGGACGTGAACATGGACGTGGACATGGACGTGGACGTGGACATGGACGTGGACGTGGACGTGGACGTGGATATGGACGTGGAGAACTTGGACGTGGACATGGACGTGAACGTGGACCTGGACGTGGACATGGACGTGGACGTGGACGTGGACGTGGACGTGGACGTGGAGGTGGACGTGGACGTGGAGGTGGACGTGGAGTGGACGTGGACGTGGACGTGGACGTGGACGTGGACGTGGACGTGGACATGGATGTGGACATGGACGTGGACGTGGACGTGGACGTGGACATGGACGTGGACGTAGACGTAGACGTGGACGTGGACGTGGACATGGACGTGGACGTGGACGTGGACGTGGACGTGGAGGACGTGGACGTGGACGTGGACGTGGAGAACTTGCACGTGGACATGGACGTGAACGTGGACGTGGACGTGGACGTGGAGGACTTGGACGTGGACATGGACGTGGACGTGGAGTGGACGTGGACGTGGACGTGGACGTTGACGTGGACGTGGACGTGGACATGGACGTGGACGTGGACGTGACGTGGACGTGGACGTGGACGTGGACGTGGAAATGGAGGTGGACGTGGACGTGGACGTGGACATGGAGTTGGACGTGGACGTGGACGTGGACATGGACGTTGACATGGACGTGGACGTGGACGTGGACATGGACGTGGACATGGACGTGGACGTGGACGTTAACGTGGACGTGGACGTGGAATGGACGTGGAGTGGACGTGGACGTGGACGTGGACGTGGACGTGGACGTGGAGGACGTGGACGTGGACGTAGACGTGGACGTGGAGAACTTGGACGTGGACATGGACGTGAACGTGGACGTGGACGTGGACGTGGAGGACTTGGACGTGGACTTGGACGTGGACGTGGACGTGGACTTGGACGTGGACGTGGACGTGGACGTGGACGTGGACGTGGACGAGGACGTGGACGTGGACGTGGACGTGGACGTGGACGTGGAGGACGTGGACGTAGACGTGGACGTGGAGAACTTGGACGTGGACATGGACGTGAACGTGGACGTGGACGTGGACGTGGAGGACTTGGACGTGGACATGGACGTGGACGTGGACGTGGACATGGACGTGGACGTGGACGTGGACGTGGACGTGGACATGGACCTGGACATGGACGTGGACGTGGACGTGGACGTGGACATGGACGTGGACGTGGACATGGTCGTGGACGTGGACATGGACGTGGACGTGGACGTGGACATGGACGTGGACGTGAACAAGACGTGGACGTGAACATGGACGTGGACATGGACGTGGACGTGGACATGGACGTTGACGTGGACGTGGACGTGGACGTGGACGTGGACGTGGAGAACTTGGACATGGACATGGACGTGAACGTGGACCTGGACGTGGACATGGACGTGGACGTGGACGTGGACATGGACGTGGACGTGGACGTGGACGTGGAGGTGGACGTGGACGTGGAGGTGGACGTGGAGTGGACGTGGACGTGGACGTGGACGTGGACGTGGACGTGGACATGGACGTGGACATGGACGTGGACATGGACGTGGACGTGGACGTGGACGTGGACATGGACGTGGACGTAGACGTAGACGTGGACGTGGACGTGGACATGGACGTGGACGTGGACGTGGACGTGGACGTGGAGGACGTGGACGTGGACGGGGACGTGGACGTGGACGTGGACGTGGAGAACTTGGACGTGGACATGGACGTGAACGTGGACGTGGACGTGGACGTGGAGGACTTGGACGTGGACATGGACGTGGACGTGGAGTGGACGTGGACGTGGACGTGGACGTTGACGTGGACGTGGACGTGGACGTGGACGTGACGTGGACGTGGACGTGGACGTGGACATGGACGTGGACGTGGATGTGGACGTGGACATGGACGTGGACGTGGACGTGGACGTGGACATGGACGTGGACATGGACGTGGACGTGGACGTGGACATGGACGTGAACATGGACGTGGACGTGGACGTGGACGTGGACGTGGACGTGGAGTGGACGTGGAGTGGACGTGGACGTGGACATGGACGTGGACGTGGACGTGGACGTGGACGTGGACGTGGAGAACTTGCACGTGGACATGGACGTGAACGTGGACGTGGACGTGGACGTGGAGGACTTGGACGTGGACATGGACGTGGACGTGGAGTGGACGTGGACGTGGACGTGGACGTTGACGTGGACGTGGACGTGGACATGGACGTGGACGTGGACGTGACGTGGACGTGGACGTGGACGTGGACGTGGACATGTAGGTGGACGTGGACGTGGACGTGGACATGGCGTTGGACGTGGACGTGGACGTGGACATGGACGTTGACATGGACGTGGACGTGGACGTGGACATGGACGTGGACATGGACGTGGACGTGGACGTTAACGTGGACGTGGACGTGGAATGGACGTGGAGTGGACGTGGACGTGGACGTGGACGTGGACGTGGAGGACGTGGACGTGGACGTAGACGTGGACGTGGAGAACTTGGACGTGGACATGGACGTGAACGTGGACGTGGACGTGGACGTGGAGGACTTGGACGTGGACATGGACGTGGACGTGGACGTGGACTTGGACGTGGACGTGGACGTGGACGTGGACGTGGACGTGGACATGGATGTGGACGTATACGTGGACGTGGACGTGGACATGGACCTGGACATGGACGTGGACGTGGACGTGGACATGGACGTGGACGTGGACATGGTCGTGGACGTGGACGTGGACGTGGATGTGGACATGGACGTGGACGTGAACAAGACGTGGACGTGAACATGGACGTGGACATGGACGTGGACGTGGACATGGACGTGGACGTGGACGTGGACGTGGACGTGGAGAACTTGGACGTGGACATGGACGTGAACGTAGACCTGGACGTGGACATGGACGTGGACGTGGACGTGGACGTGGAGGTGGACGTGGACGTGGAGGTGGACGTGGAGTGGACGTGGACCTGGACGTGGACGTGGACGTGGACATGGACGTGGACGTGGACGTGGACGTGGACGTGGACGTGGACGTGGACATGGACGTGGACATGGACGTGGACGTGGACATGGACGTGGACGTAGACGTAGACGTGGACGTGGACGTGGACATGGACGTGGACAGGACGTGGATGTGGACGTGGAGGACGTGGACGTGGACGTGGACGTGGACGTGGACGTGGACGTGGACGTGGAGAACTTGGACGTGGACATGGACGTGAACGTGGACGTGGACGTGGACGTGGAGGACTTGGACGTGGACATGGACGTGGACGTGGAGTGGACGTGGACGTGGACGTGGACGTTGACGTGGACGTGGACGTGGACATGGACGTGGACGTGGACGTGACGTGGACGTGGACGTGGACGTGGACGTGGACATGGACGTGGACGTAGACGTGGACGTGGACATGGAGGTGGACGTGGACGTGAACGTGGACATGGACGTGGACATGGACGTGGACGTGGACGTGGACATGGACGTGGACATGGACGTGGACGTGGACGTGGACGTGGACGTGGAGTGGACGTGGAGTGGACGTGGACGTGGACGTGGACGTGGACGTGGACGTGGAGTGGACGTGGACGTGGACGTGGACGTGGACGTGGACGTGGACGTGGAGGACGTGGACGTGGACGTGGACGTGGACGTGGAGAACTTGGACGTGGACATGGACGTGAACGTGGACGTGGACGTGGACGTGGAGGACTTGGACGTGGACATGGACGTGGACGTGGACATGGACGTGGACGTGGACGTGGACGTGGACGTGGACATGGACGTGGACGTGGACGTGGACGTGGACGTGGACATGGACCTGGACATGGACGTAGACGTGGACGTGGACATGGACGTGGACGTGGACATGGTCGTGGACGTGGACGTGGACGTGGACATGGACGTGGACGTGAACAAGACGTGGACGTGAACATGGACGTGGACATGGACGTGGACGTGGACATGGACGTAGACGTGGACGTGGACGTGGACGAGGACGTGGAGAACTTGGACGTGGACATGGACGTGAATGTGGACCTGGACGTGGACATGGACGTGGACGTGGACGTGGACGTGGACGTGGACGTGGACGTGGACGTGGACGTGGAGGTGGACGTGGACGTGGAGGTGGACGTGGACGTGGACGTGGACGTGGACGTGGACGTGGACGTGGACGTGGACGTGGACATGGACGTGGACCTGGACGTGGACAAGGACGTGGACGTGGACATGGACGTGGACGTAGACGTAGAAGTGGACGTGGACGTGGACATGGACGTGGACGTGGACGTGGACGTGGACGTGGAGGACGTGGACGTGGACGTGGACGTGAACGTGGACGTGGACGTGGACGTGGAGGACTTGGACGTGGACATGGACGTGGACGTGGACGTGGACGTGGACGTGGACATGGACGTGGACATGGACGTGGACGTGGACATGGACGTGGACGTGGACGTGGACGTGGACATGGACGTGGACATGGACGTGGACGTGGACGTGGACATGGACGTGGACATGGACGTGGACGTGGACGTGACGTGGAGTGGACGTGGAGTGGACGTGGACGTGGACATGGACGTGGACGTGGACGTGGACGTGGATGTGGACGTGGAGAACTTGGACGTGGACATGGACGTAAACGTGGACGTGGACGTGGACGTGGAGGACTTGGACGTGGACATGGACGTGGACGTGGACGTGGACGTGGACGTGGACGTGGACATGGACGTGGACGTGGACGTGGACGTAGACGTGGACATGGACCTGGACATGGACGTGGACGTGGACGTGGACGTGGACATGGACATGGACGTGGACATGGTCGTGGACGTGGACGTGGACGTGGACGTGGACATGGACGTGGACGTGAACAAGACGTGGACGTGAACATGGACGTGGACATGGACGTGGACGTGGACATGGACGTGGACGTGGACGTGGACGTGGACGTGGAGAACTTGGACGTGGACGTGGACGTGGACGTGGACCTGGACGTGGACATGGACGTGGACATGGACGTGAACGTGGACGTGGACATGGACATGGACGTGGCGACGTGGACGTGGACGTGGACGTGAAGGTGGACGTGGAGTGGGACGTGGAGGTGGACGTGGACGTGGAGGTGGACGTGGACGTGGAGGTGGACGTGGACGTGGACGTGGACGTGGACCTGGACGTGGACGTGGACATGGACGTGGACATGGACGTGGACGTGGACGTGGACGTGGACATGGACGTGGACGTAGACGTAGACGTGGACGTGGACGTGGACATGGACGTGGACGTGGACGTGGACGTGGACGTGGAGGACGTGGACGTGGACGTGGACGTGGACGTGGAGAACTTGGACGTGGACATGGACGTGAACGTGGACGTGGACGTGGACGTGGAGGACTTGGACGTGGACATGGACGTGGACGTGGAGTGGACGTGGACGTGGACGTTGACGTTGACGTGGACGTGGACGTGGACATGGACGTGGACGTGGACGTGACGTGGACGTGGACGTGGACGTGGACGTGGACATGGAGGTGGACGTGGACGTGGACGTGGACATGGAGGTGGACGTGGACGTGGACGTGGACGTGGACGTGGACGTGGAGGTGGACGTGGACATGGACGTGGACATGGACGTGGAGTGGACGTGGACGTGGACGTGGACGTGGAGTGGACGTGGACGTGGAGTGGACGTGGACGTGGACGTGGACGAGGACGTGGACGAGGACGTGGACATGGACGTGGACGTGGACGTGGACGTGGAGGACGTGGACGTGGACGTGGACGTGGACGTGGAGAACTTGGACGTGGACATGGACGTGAACGTGGACGTGGACGTGGACGTGGAGGACTTGGACATGGACATGGACGTGGACGTGGACGTGGACATGGACGTGAACGTGGACGTGGACGTGGACGTGGACGTGGACATCGACGTGGACGTGGACGTGGACGTGGACGTGGACATGGACCTGGACATGGACGTGGACGTGGACGTGGACATGGACGTGGACCTGGACATGGTCGTGGACGTGGACGTGGACGTGGACGTTGAGGTGGACATGGACGTGGACGTGAACAAGACGTGGACGTGAACATGGACGTGGACATGGACGTGGACGTGGACATGGACGTGGACGTGGACGTGGACGTGGACGTGGAGAACTTGGACGTGGACATGGACGTGAACGTGGACCTGGACGTGGACATGGACGTGGACATGGACGTGGACGTGGACGTGGAGGTGGACGTGGACGTGGAGGTGGACGTGGAGTGGACGTGGACGTGGACGTGGACGTGGACGTGGACGTGGACATGGACGTGGACGTGGACGTGGACGTGGACGTGGACGTGGACGTGGACGTGGACATGGACGTGGACATGGACGTGGACGTGGACGTGGACGTGGACATGGACGTGGACGTAGACGTAGACGTGGACGTGGACGTGGACATGGACGTGGAGGTGGACGTGGACGTGGACGTGGAGGACTTGGACTTGGACGTGGACGTTGACGTGGACGTGGAGAACTTGGACGTGGACATGGACGTGAACGTGGACGTGGACGTGGACGTGGAGGACTTGGACGTGGACATGGACGTGGACGTGGAGTGGACGTGGACGTGGACGTTGACATGGACGTGGACGTGGACATGGACGTGGACGTGGACGTGACGTGGACGTGGACGTGGACGTGGACATGGACGTGGACGTGGACGTGGACGTGGACATGGAGGTGGACGTGGACGTGGACGTGGACCTGGACGTGAACGTGGACGTGGACGTGGACGTGGACGTGGACGTGGACGTGGACATGGACGTGGACGTGGACGTGGACGTGGACGTGGAGTGGACGTGGAGTGGACGTGGACGTGGACATGGACGTGGACGTGGACGTGGACGTGGACGTGGACGTGGACGTGGACGTGGAGGACGTGGACGTGGACGTGGACGTGGACGTGGACGTGGAGAACTTGGACGTGGACATGGACGTGAACGTGGACGTGGACGTGGACGTGAAGGACTTGGACGTGGACATGGACGTGGACGTGGACGTGGACATGGACGTGGACGTGGACGTGGACGTGGACGTGGACATGGACGTGGACATGGACGTGGACGTGGACGTGGACGTGGACGTGGACATGGACCTGGACATGGACGTGGACGTGGACGTGGACTTGGACGTGGACATGGACGTGGACGTGGACATGGTCGTGGACGTGGACGTGGACGTGGACGTGGACATGGACGTGGACGTGAACAAGACCTGGACGTGAACATGGACGTGGACATGGACGTGGACGTGGACATGGACGTGGACGTGGACGTGGACGTGGAGAACTTGGACGTGGACATGGACGTGAACGTGGACCTGGACGTGGACATGGACGTGGACGTGGACGTGGACGTGGACGTGGACGTGGACGTGGACGTGGAGGTGGACGTGGAGTGGACGTGGACGTGGACGTGGACGTGGACGTGGACGTGGACGTGGAGGACGTGGACGTGGACGTGGACGTGGACGTGGACGTGGACGTGGACGTGGACGTGGAGGACGTGGACGTGGACGTGGACGTGGACGTGGAGAACTTGGACGTGGACATGGACGTGAACGTGGACGTGGACGTGGACGTGGAGGACTTGGACGTGGACATGGATGTGGACGTGGACGTGGACATGGACGTGGACGTGGACGTGGACGTGGACGTGGACGTGGACATGGACGTGGACGTGGACGTGGACGTGGACGTGGACATGGACCTGGACATGGACATGGACGTGGACGTGGACGTGGACATGGATGTGGACGTGGACGTGGACGTGGACGTGGACGTGGACATGGACGTGGACGTGAACAAGACGTGGACGTGAACGTGGACGTGGACATGGACGTGGACGTGGACATGGACGTGGACGTGGACGTGGACGTGGACGTGGACGTGGACGTGGAGAACTTGGACGTGGACATGGACGTGAACGTGGACCTGGACGTGGACATGGACGTGGACGTGGACGTGGACGTGGACGTGGAGGTGGACGTGGACGTGGAGGTGGACGTGGAGTGGACGTGGACGTGGATGTGGAGGTGGACGTGGACATGGACGTGGACGTGGACGTGGACGTGGACGTGGACATGGACGTAGACATGGACGTGGACGTGGACGTGGATGTCGACATGGACGTGGACGTGGACATGGACGTGGACGTGGACGTGGACGTGGAGGACGTGGACGTGGACGTGGACGTGGACGTGGAGGACGTGGACGTGGACGTGGACGTGGACGTGGACGTGGACGTGGAGAACTTGGACGTGGACATGGACGTGAACGTGGACGTGGACGTGGACGTGGAGGACTTGGACGTGGACATGGACGTGGACGTGGACGTGGACGTTGACGTGGACGTGGACGTGGAGATGGACGTGGACGTGGACGTGGACGTGGACGTGGACGTGGACATGGACGTGGACGTGGACGTGGACGTGGACATGGAGGTGGACGTGGACGTGGACGTGGACATGGACGTGGACATGGACGTGGACGTGGACGTGGATGTGGACGTGGACGTGGAGTGGACGTGGAGTGGACGTGGACGTGGACATGGACGTGGACGTGGACGTGGACGTGGACGTAGACGTGGACGTGGACGTGGAGGACGTGGACGTGGACGTGGACGTGGACGTGGAGAACTTGGACGTGGACATGGACGTGAACGTGGACGTGGACGTGGACGTGGAGGACTTGGACGTGGACATGGACGTGGACGTGGACGTGGACATGGACGTGGACGTGGACGTGGACGTGGACATGGACGTGGACGTGGACGTGGACGTGGACGTGGACATGGACCTGGACATGGACGTGGACGTGGACGTGGACATGGACGTGGACGTGGACCTGGTCGTGGACGTGGACATGGACGTGGACGTGGACGTGGACGTGGACATGGACGTGGACGTGAACAAGACGTGGACGTGGACATGGACGTGGACATGGACGTGGACGTGGACATGGACGTGGACGTGGACGTGGACGTGGACATGGACGTGGACGTGGACGTGGACGTGGACGTGGAGAACTTGGACGTGGACATGGACGTGGACGTGGAGGTGGACGTGGACATGGACGTGGACGTGGACGTGGACGTGGACGTGGACGTGGAGGTGGACGTGGACGTGGAGGTGGACGTGGAGTGGACGTGGACGTGGACGTGGACGTGGACGTGGACGTGGACATGGACGTGGACGTGGACGTGGACGTGGACGTGGACGTGGACATGGATGTGGACATGGACGTGGACGTGGACGTGGAGGTGGACGTAGACGTGGACGTGGACGTGGACGTGGACGTGGACGTGGAGGACGTGGACGTGGACGTGGACGTGGACGTGGAGAACTTGCACGTGGACATGGACGTGAACGTGGACGTGGAGGTGGACGTGGAGGACTTGGACGTGGACATGGACGTGGACGTGGAGTGGACGTGGACGTGGACGTTGACGTGGACGTGGACGTGGACATGGACGTGGACGTGGATGTGGACGTGACGTGGACATGGACATGGACGTGGACGTGGACATGGACGTGGACGTGGACGTGGACGTGGACATGGAGGTGGACGTGGACGTGGACGTGGAGGTGGACGTGGACGTGGACGTGGACATGGACGTGGACGTGGACATGGACGTGGACGTGGACGTGGACGTGGACGTGGAGTGGACGTGGAGTGGACGTGGACGTGGACATGGACGTGGACGTGGAGTGGACGTGGACGTGGACGTGGACGTGGACATGGACGTGGAGAACTTGGACGTGGACATGGACGTGGACGTGGACATGGACGTGGACGTGGACGTGGACGTGGACATGGACGTGGACGTCGACGTGGACGTGGACGTGGAGGTGGACGTGGACATGGACGTGGACGTGGACGTGGACGTGGACATGGACGTGGACGTGGATGTGGAGGTGGACGTTGACGTGGAGGTGGACGTGGAGTTGGACGTGGACGTGGACGTGGACATGGACGTGGACGTGGACGTGGACGTGGACGTGGACGTGGACGTGGACATGGATGTGGACCTGGACGTGGACGTGGACGTGGAGGTGGACGTAGACGTGGACGTGGACGTGGACGTGGACGTGGACGTGGACGTAGAGGACGTGGACATGGACGTGGACGTGGACGTGGAGAACTTGGACGTGGACATGGACGTGAACGTGGACGTGGAGGTGGACGTGGAGGACGTGAACGTGGACGTGGACGTGGACGTGGAGGACTTGGACGTGGACGTGGTAGTGGACGTTGACGTGGACGTGGACGTGGACGTGGACGTTGACGTGGACGTGGACGTGCACATGGACGTGGACGTGGATGTGGACGGGACTTGGACGTGGACATGGACGTGGACGTGGACATGGACGTGGACGTGGACGTGGACATGGAGGTGGACGTGGACGTGGACGTGGACATGGACGTGGACATGGACGTGGACGTGGACGTGGACATGGACGTGGACATGGACGTGGACATGGACGTGGACGTGGAGTGGACGTGGAGTGTTCGTGGACGTGGACATGGATGTGGACGTGGACGTGGACGTGGACGTGGACGTGGACGTGGACGTGGAGGACGTGGACGTGGACGTGGAGAACTTGGACCTGGACAGGGACGTGAACGTGGACATGGACGTGGACGTGGAGGACTTGGACGTGGAGGACGTGGACGTGGAGGACATGGTCGTGGACGTGGACGTGGACGTGGATGGGACGTGGACGTGGACATGGACGTGGACGTGAACAAGACGTGGACGTGAACATGGACGTGGACATGGACGTGGACGTGGACGTGGACGTGGACGTGGACGTGGAGGTGGACGTGGACGTGGAGGTGGACGTGGAGTGGACGTGGACGTGGACGTGGACGTGGACGTGGACGTGGACGTGGACGTGGACGTGGATGTGGACATGGACGTGGACATGGACGTGGACATGGACGTGGACGTGGACGTGGACGTGGACATGGACGTGGACGTAGACGTAGACGTGGACGTGGACGTGGACATGGACGTGGACGTGGACGTGGACGTGAACAGGGTTTAGACGTAGACGTGGACGTGGACGTGGACATGAACGTGGAGGACGTGGACGTGGACGTGGACGTGGACGTGGAGAACTTGGACGTGGATATGGACGTGAACGTGGACGTGGAGGTGGACGTGGAGGACTTGGACGTGGACATGGAGGTGGACGTGGAGTGGACGTGGACGTGGACGTGGACGTTGACGTGGACGTGGACGTGGACATGGACGTGGACGTGGATGTGGACGTGACGTGGACGTGGACGTGGACGTGGACGTGGACATGGACGTGGACGTGGACGTGGACGTGAACATGGAGGTGGACGTGGACGTGGACGTGGACATGGACGTGGACATGGACGTGGACGTGGACGTGGACATGGACGTGGACATGGACGTGGACGTGGACGTGGACGTGGAGTGGACGTGGACGTGGACGTGGACATGGACGTGGACGTGGACGTGGACGTGGACGTGGACGTGGACGTGGACGTGGAGGACGTGGACGTGGACGTGGACGTGGACGTGGAGAACTTGGACCTGGACAGGGACGTGAACGTGGACATGGACGTGGACGTGGAGGACTTGGACGTGGACATGGACGTGGACGTGGACGTGGACATGGACGTGGACGTGGACGTGGACGTGGACGTGGACATGGACGTGGACGTGGACGTGGACGTGGACGTGGACGTGGACCTGGACATGGACGTGGACGTGGACGTGGACGTGGACATGGACGTGGACGTGGACATGGTCGTGGACGTGGACGTGGACGTGGACATGGACGTGGACGTGAACAAGACGTGGACGTGAACATGGACGTGGACATGGACGTGGACGTGGACATGGACGTGGACGTGGACGTGGACGTGGACGTGGACGTGGAGGTGGACGTGGACGTGGAGGTGGACGTGGAGTGGACGTGGACGTGGACGTGGACGTGGACGTGGACGTGGACATGGACGTGGACGTGGACGTGGACGTGGACGTGGACGTGGACGTGGACATGGACGTGGACGTGGACATGGACGTGGACATGGACGTGGACGTGGACGTGGACGTGGACATGGACGTGGACGTAGACGTAGACGTGGACGTGGACGTGGACATGGACGTGGACGTGGACGTGGACGTGGACGTGGACGTGGAGGACGTGGACGTGGACGTGGACGTGGACGTGGACGTGGAGGACTTGGACGTGGACATGGACGTGGACGTGGAGTGGACGTGGACGTGGACGTGGACGTTGACGTGGACGTGGACGTGGACATGGACGTGGACGTGGACGTGACATGGACGTGGACGTGGACGTAGACGTGGACCGGACATGGACGTGGACGTGGACGTGGACGTGGACATGGACGTGGACATGGACGTGGACGTGGACGTGGACATGGACGTGGACATGGACGTGGATGTAGACGTGGACGTGGTCGTGGACGTAGACGTGGACGTGCATTAGATTCCTTTCGAACCTTATTAGCTCACTAGATTTATATATTTCCCACCTTCTGATCGAGTGAGACCGCTAGATTCCCTCTACTTTTTGAGAAATGAGCGTTTCCGTTCTCCTTGGCCCTAGTTGCACTATAAGTGCGAAATGCCGGCCAGACTGGCCGATGCACAATTTTCTCTACACATGTGCATTAGTTACCTTTCAAACCCTTATGTTCACTAGATGAATAGATTTCCTACCTTATATTTGAGTGAGACCACTAGATTCCGTGTATTATGCGAGATCTGAGCGGTTCCGTTCTCCCATGCATTTGCACTCTAAGTTCCCATACTGACCGACCTGGCCAATGCACCACTTTCCATATACATATGCATTAGATTCCTTCCGAACCTTATTAGCTCACTAGATTTATATATTTCCCACCTTCTGATTGAGTGAGACCGCTAGATTCCCTTTACTTTTTGAGAAATGAGCGTTTCCGTTCTCCTTGGCCCTACTTGCACTATAAGTGCGAAATGCCGGCCAGACTGGCCGATGCACCATTTTCTCTACACATGTGCGTTAGTTACCTTTCACACCATTACGTTCACTAGATGAATTTATTTCCTACCTTCTATTTGAGTGAGACCACTAGATTCCGTGTACTATGCGAGATCTGAGCGCTTCCGTTCTCCCTGGCATTTGCACTTTAAGTTCCCATACTGACCGACCTGGCCAATGCACCATTTTCCATATACATATGCATTATATTCCTTTCGAACCTTATTAGCTCACTAGATTTATATATTTCCCACCTTTTGATCGAGTGAGACCGCTAGATTCCCTTTACTTTTTGAGAAATGAGCGTTTCCGTTCTCCTTGGCCCTACTTGCACTATAAGTGCGAAATGCCGGCCAGACTGGCCGACGCACCATTTTCTCTACACATGTGCGTTAGTTACCTTTCAAACCCTTACGTTCACTAGATGAATATATTTCCTACTTTCTATTTGAGTGAGACCACTTGATTCCGTGTACTATGCGAGATCTGAGCGCTTCCGTTCTCCCTGGCATTTGCATTTTAAGTTCCGATACTGACCGACCTGGCCAATGCACCATTTTCTCTATACATGTGCGTTGAATACATTTCAAACCTTTTTAGCTGACTAGATTTATATATTTCCCACCTTCTGATCGAGTGAGACCATTAGATTCCCTCTACTTTTTGAGAAACGAGCGTTTCCGTTCTCTCTGGCCCCACCTGCACTATGCGTGCGAAATGCCGGCCAGACTGGCCGATGCACCATTTTCTCTACACATGTGCGTTAGTTACCTTTCAAACCCTTACGTTCACTAGATGAATATATTTCCTACCTTATATTTGAGTGAGACCACTAGATTCCGTGCATTATGCGAGATCTGAGCGGTTCCGTTCTCCCATGCATTTGCACTCTAAGTTCCCATACTGACCGACCTGGCCAATGCACCACTTTCCATATACATATGCATTAGATTCCTTCTGAACCTTATTAGCTGACTAGATTTATATATTTCCCACCTTCTGATCGAGTGAGACCGCTAGATTCCCTTTACTTTTTGAGAAATGAGCGTTTCCGTTCTCCTTGGCCCTACTTGCACTATAAGTGCGAAATGCCGGTCAGACTGGCCGATGCACCATTTTCTCTACACATGTAGGTTAGTTACCTTTCAAACCTTTACGTTCACTAGATGAATTTATTTCCTACCTTCTATTTGAGTGAGACCACTAGATTTCGTGTACTATGCGAGATCTGAGCGCTTCCGTTCTCCCTGGCATTTGCACTCTAAGTTCCCATACTGACCGACCTGGCCAATGCACCATTTTCCATATACATATGCATTAGATTCCTTTCGAACCTTATTAGCTCACTAGATTTACATATTTCCCACCTTTTGATCGAGTGAGACCGCTAGATTCCCTTTACTTTTTGAGAAATGAGCGTTTCCGTTCTCCTTGGCCCTACTTGCACTATAAGTGCGAAATGCCGGCCAGACTGGCCGACGCACCATTTTCTCTACACATGTGCGTTAGTTACCTTTCAAACCCTTACGTTCACTAGATGAATATATTTCCTACCTTATATTTGAGTGAGACCACTAGATTCCGTGTATTATGCGAGATCTGAGCGGTTCCGTTCTCCCAGGCATTTGCACTTTAAGTTCCCATACTGACCGACCTGGCCAATGCACCATTTTCCATATACATATGCATTAGATTCCTTTCGAACCTTATAAGCTCACTAGATTTATATATTTCCCACCTTCTGATCGAGTGAGAGTGCTAGATTCCCTTTACTTTTTGAGAAATAAGCGTTTCCGTTCTCCTTGGCCCTACTTGCACTATAAGTGCGAAATGCCGGCCAGACTGGCCGATGCTCCATTTTCTCTACACATGTGCGTTAGTTACCTTTCAAACCCTTACGTTCACTAGATGAATATATTTCCTACTTTCTATTTGATTGAGACCACTTGATTCCGTGTACTATGCGAGATCTGAGCGCTTCCGTTCTCCCTGGCATTTGCATTTTAAGTTCCGATACTGACCGACCTGGCCAATGCACCATTTTCTCTATACATGTGCGTTGAATATATTTCAAACCTTTTAAGCTGACTAGATTTATATATTTCCCACCTTCTGATCGAGTGAGACCATTAGATTCCCTCTACTTTTTGAGAAACGAGCGTTTCCGTTCTCCCTGGCCCCACCTGCACTATGAGTGCGAAATACCGGCCAGACTGGCCGATGCACCATTTTCTCTACACATGTGCGTTAGTTACCTTTCAAACCCTTACGTTCACTAGATGAATATATTTTCGACCTTATATTTGAGTGAGACCACTAGATTCCGTGTATTATGCGAGATCTGAGCGGTTCCGTTCTCCCAGGCATTTGCACTTTAAGTTCCCATACTGACCGACCTGGCCAATGCACCATTTTCCATATACATATGCATTAGATTCCTTTTGAACCTTATAAGCTCACTAGATTTATATATTTCCCACCTTTTGATCGAGTGAGAGTGCTAGATTCCCTTTACTTTTTGAGAAATAAGCGTTTCCGTTCTCCTTGGCCCTACTTGCACTATAAGTGCGAAATGCCGGCCAGACTGGCCGATGCTCCATTTTCTCTACACATGTGAGTTAGTTACCTTTCAAACCCTTACGTTCACTAGATGAATTTATTTCCTACCTTCTATTTGAGTGAGACCACTAGATTCCGTGTACTATGCGAGATCTGAGCGCTTCCGTTCTCCCTGGCATTTGCACTCTAAGTTCCCATACTGACCGACCTGGCCAATGCACCATTTTCCATATACATATGCATTAGATTCATTTCGAACCTTATAAGCTCACTAGATTTATATATTTCCCACCTTCTGATCGAGTGAGACCGCCAGATTCCCTTTACTTTTTGAGAAATGAGCGTTTCCGTTCTCCTTGGCCCTAGTTGCACTAAAAGTGCGAAATGCCGGCGTGACTGGCCGATGCACCATTTTCTCTACACATGTGCGTTAGTTACCTTTCAAACCCTTACGTTCACTAGATGAATTTATTTCCTACTTTCTATTTGAGTGAGACCACTTGATTCCGTGTACTATGCGAGATCTGAGCGCTTCCGTTCTCCCTGGCATTTGCATTTTAAGTTCCGATACTGACCGACCTGGCCAATGCACCATTTTCTCTATACATGTGCGTTGAATACATTTCAAACCTTTTTAGCTGACTAGATTTATATATTTCCCACCTTCTGATCGAGTGAGATTGTTAGATTCCCTCCACTTTTTGAGAAACGAGCGTTTCCGTTCTCCCTCGCCCCACCTGCACTATGAGTGCGAAATGCCGGCCAGACTGGCCGATGCACCATTTTCTCTTCACATGTGCGTTAGTTACCTTTCAAACCCTTACGTTCACTAGATGAATATATTTCCTATCTTATATTTGAGTGAGACCACTAGATTCCGTGTATTATGCGAGATCTGAGCGGTTCCGTTCTACCATGCATTTGCACTCTAAGTTCCCATACTGACCGACCTGGCCAATGCACCACTTTCGATATACATATGCATTAGATTCCTTCGGAACCTTATTAGCTCACTAGATTTATATATTTCCCACCTTCTGATCGAGTGAGACCGCTAGATTCCCTTTACTTTTTGAGAAATGAGCGTTTCCGTTCTCCTTGGCCCTAGTTGCACTATAAGTGCGAAATGCCGGCCAGACTGGCCGATGCACCATTTTCTCTTCACATGTGCGTTAGTTACCTTTCAAACCCTTACGTTCACTAGATGAATATATTTCCTACCTTATATTTGAGTGAGACCACTAGATTCCGTGTATTATGCGAGATCTGAGCGGTTCCGTTCTCCCAGGCATTTGCACTCTAAGTTCCCATACTGACCGTGTCAAACATTATATATGTTATGCTTGTGTAGGCTACAGTGGGTTAGCCTATAGGGGGTACACAATTCTAGGGTTTCCTACTTGTACTCATTTCACTGCACGTCCACGTCCATGTCATTTGCACTCTAAGTTCCCATACTGACCGACCTAGCCAATGCACCATTTTCCATATACATATGCATTAGATTCCTTTCGAACCTTAATAGCTCACTAGATTTATATATTTCCCACCTTCTGATCGAGTGAGACCGCTAGATTCCCTCTACTTTTTGAGAAATGAGCGTTTCCGTTCTCCTTGGCCCTAGTTGCACTATAAGTGCGAAATGCTGGCCAGACTGGCCGATGCACAATTTTCTCTACACATGTGCGTTAGTTACCTTTCAAACCCTTACGTTCACTAGATGAATAGATTTCCTACCTTATATTTGAGTGAGACCACTAGATTCCGTGTATTATGCGAGATCTGAGCGGTTCCGTTCTACCATGCATTTGCACTCTAAGTTCCCATACTGACCGACCTGGCCAATGCACCACTTTCCATATACATATGCATTAGATTCCTTCCGAACCTTATTAGCTCACTAGATT